CAGGGTCTCACTCAGTTGCTTAGTGCCTCGCAGTTGCTGAGGCTGGCTTCAAATTCTCCATCCTCCTGCCTCAGCCTCCTGAGCTGCTGGGACTACAGGTGTATACCACCATGCCCAATGATTTTTATTTCTTGACCACTAATTAAGCTGCATACTTTAAGAAGTAATTTTGTAGTGTTTTAAACACATGCTGGAGAGTATGTTATCTTTTAAGATATATCACTTTTCCTGTGCAAGGCTCTGGGTTTGAGCCCCAGTACTACAAAAGCAACAAACAACAAAATTCCATGTATAATAATTTTTTTAAATATTATTTTTAGTTGTTGATAGTTATTTTATTCATTTATTTTTATGTGGTTCTGAGAATCGAACCCAGTGACTCACATGTGCAGGAAGAGCCCTCTACCACTGAGCCACAACCCCAGCCCCCACATATAGTAACATCGTTTGTTTATTTATTTATTAGTTGTAGTTGGACACAATACCTGTAATTCATGTATTTTTATGTGGTGCTGAGCATCGAACCCAGGGCCTCACACATACTAGGCGAGCAGTCTACCCCTGAGCCACAACCCCAGCCCCGCCACATAGTAGTTTTAAACAGGCAATAAGTAAAGGCCTTGCGACGACAGTAGTCCCTGAGGCATCTGACCGTCCATGCGCCGACTCAGCCTGTGCAAGTGGTCACAGAGGGTCCCTGTCCCCAGGGTGTCACTGTGGTGAGGAAAACAGGCATTCACCGCCACTCTGATAATGGCCATGCTGAGGGCTGGAGCTGTGGGCGAAACGCTGAGCGTGCATGCTCCTAGTCGTGCCACTGGTATTCCTGGGGTCCGTTTTGACGGGCTTTCTGTGGTGAAGTCAGATATGGGAAAGAGTCTCACCTGCTCTTTTTGCCTCAGTGTGCATTTTCTTGAGTTCCTGTGAATGAAGTGCTGCTGAGTATGCTTAGTTTTGAGTCTCTTGAAGAATCAGCCATGCTGACTGGGTTTGTCTTTATTACACGGTTTGGGTTTTGCTTAGCAGATCTTACACATCATATGGAGACGATGTAATTTTCTCTCCCAGTTGCCTTTCAAAACTTGGACTGTGGGGGCTGGGGTTATGGCTCAGTGGCTGAGTGCTCGCCTCACATGTGTGTGGCACTGGGTCGATCCTCTGCATGCATACAAAAATAAATAAGACAGATACTGTGTCCATCTACAACTAAAAAATAAAAATAAAATAAAAAACTTGGACTGTGTACTTACCTTTTGGTTGCAATAGTGTAAACACCAGTTGTGTCATTCAGAAGTGTCATAAGAGGAACGGCATAACAGTGTATGCATTTCTAAGTGTTGAGTAATTTGTTACTTTCTGAGCATTTATGTAATCTAAGGTGTGGGGATTTTGTCTTCGTATTGTGGTGCTGGGAACTGAACCTAGGGCCTTATGCTTGCTGGGAAGAGACAGCAGTTAGTACTGACCATGCTGTGGGCCAGAAAGAACCAGCGCTGGGCCTCCAGAGCTGCAGGAGAAGGTGTCATCAAAGAGCACCGCAGGGTCCAGGAGTGGCCAACTCCAGGTGGGCCCTGATCCCAGCCTGAAGCTGGTTCTGTACTCAGAAAGGAAGTGCTGCTGTGGTATCAGGGTAGGACTTAAAATGCCACCATGTAGAAGCCCCGTCTCAATTGGTAGGAAGTATCCACCAGTTAAAAGCCGAATTCTAGATCTTGAGAGGCTTTCCCCATTGTAGTTCCACCTGCATATCCAGAGTGCTCAAATGTTCCTTTTTCTCTGCCCAAAGGTGGGTTATCCAAGCAGTGTCATACAGTGAGTGAAATGCAACCTATCTGACCCATTTTCTTTGGGCACATAGAATTTCTGGCATGCCTATATACCGGGATTTGTGCTTAATAAAGACAGCACTTGAATCTCTTATCACAAGTACATGTTAACGTATGGAATTGTGGTGCTGTTTTAAAGGGAAAGCTCCATTGAAAATTGAAATTGTGGGATCTTGCTTATCCAGTGAGTGTGTTCGGAAATTTTCACATCACTCTAGTTTTCTTACTTCTGTGATTATTCCAAATTATATTTTATTTAATTGGAAGCAGTGTGTACACAAGCCTGGCCTTTACAGAAAATTGCATTATATAATGTTTCTTTGACTCCATAGTAGTTGTATGATTGAATCCTGGTTCTAGAAATTTAAAACTTTGGCTTTACAGTTTGGGTGTTTGCCTTTATTACATGGTACTTTACTTGTAATAAAGATGTAGTATAGAACTTGGGTCTCTTTTAGGTAGTGCTGTTAGAGCTCTTTAGTCATGTGCTGTAAAAACTGACAAATAACTTCAGATCCCAGATCAGTGCTCAGGCACCTGCTGGGTTCCCTGTAGTCATCTGGGTTCTGTTCATAGAAGCTCCCTGTGCAGCCAGAGAGGAGCTTTGGCTCAGTGAGGAACATGCTGCTCTTGAACTAAGTAAGCTGTAGGATGTGCCAGAGTCTGCCCGCCAGACCCCAGGGAGGCAGGCCACCTCCAGAGGCTCTGTGAAGGATGCCCGAGTTGTTTTCCTTGGAGATCCTGGGGCTGCCTGCCCCAAAGCACTCCATACAGTGTTTCTCAGAAAGATAAGAAAAATTTTACCCAGTGGAGAAAATCGAGGTGGCCTTCACTTTAATTCAGATAAACTGATGTGTCCAGGTTTGTGCTGTAAAGTGTGGTCACTGTCTCCGTGTGGCTTTTAAGGACCATCGTGTGTGCGTGCTGTGGGGGCTTCTGTGTGTGCTAGCAGGTGACTGCTTTGTTTCTGCAGCTTTCCTCGCTCCCTGGCTGGTGGCCTCAGTGGCCTTCTCCCCTGCCCTGGTGGTGGGTGGTAGCTGCTGGACTGCTTGTCTGACCCAGCCCCTGTTCTTCCCTTTAGGTCATCACCAACCTAGTGAAAATGCTGAAGTCCAGAGACACCAGGAGAAACTTTTGTCCTCCAAATCACTGGCTGTCAGAACAAGAAGATATTAAAGCAGATAAGGTGTTCTTGACAGATTCTTAAAGTACTTTTCACGAAATTTTTTTTTTTCTTTTTTCTTTGTGGGGAGAAGAATAAGTTCTTTAAGGTTGTATTTCCTTAGTAAATTAACACTGGTGGTCAGCCTGTTCTTTACATGCCTCCTGGGCTGGGGCTCAGGGCAACATCATCAATACTAATAATCTCTTCACAACTTACGAGAGACAGACCATATCAATTTTCTAAAGGAGCAGAGATAGAGATAAGTATTGCTAAGATCCAGGTCTAAAGTAGGTCGTGTAAGATATTAGAGCATAGCCTTAGCAGAGGGTATCAGGTGTGTCCAGGGAAATTCCTGGCTGCGCTCACTGCAGACTCCTGGGGCTGGAGACGAAGGGCAGGGCGTAGAAGGAGCAGGCAACAGGCCTGCTGAAGACCTGAAGGTGTGGGCGTGGGAGAGCAGTTCAAGTGTGGTGTTCTCCTGGACGCCCACCTTCAGGTCCACCTCGGGGCTATTGCTGTCCCCTGAACAAGGCTGGGGCCCCACAAAGAATTTCCCACCAAAAGGAAACCACCCTTGGCACAGCAGGGAGGACCCTCCAAGGGGGGCATGGGGTGTGAAGAGGGGTCAGAGGTCCCTTTTGGGCTCCTGCCACCCCAGGGACTCTGGATGTCATTGAACACAGCTGCAGCACACTCAAATCAGCATGCTGGGAAAGAAGGAGCTGCCCTGTGGGGCACGGGTGTCGTCCATCGGGCGAGAGGGCGGGACAAGGCAGCCTGCTTAGGACAGAGGCCCAGCTCACTAAAATGAGTGGGAGCTGCTGGATCCTGAGTTGCTGACCTGGTCACCTCCCACAGGTCACCCAGCTCTACGTGCCCGCATCCAGACATGTGTGGAGGTTCCGTCGGATGGGGAGGATCGGCCCGCTGCAGTCCACCCTGGAGGGTGAGTGCTCCCACTGGCACTGCCTGCGGTGGCCAGGCCGTCGCGTCCCGTTTCCTGCGGCAGTGCTCGTGCCTTCAGGGTGCAGTTCTGAGTCTGGGATGCACCGTCGCTCCCCAGCCAGCCACCCTCCCTCAAAATCACCTCAGCTCCGGGTGCCGGGCACCTTCCCCAGGGCAGCTCCGGGCTGGCAGGGTGGTTCCCGGCCTGTGCTCGCCTCTTCTGGAAGCCCCTAAGCAGAGTCCCCCTGCTGGGGCCGAGCGGCTGCCTGCGTCAGGCACAGCCTGGCCCCTGTGCTCAGCCTGTTCTGCCGTGGGTGTGCCTCGGGTTCTGGTCCACTTCTCAGCATGAGGAAGTCAGTTGTTTCTTCTTCAGTCTGGTGATGATGGACTCGGCTGCACTAAACCATCTGTGGGCAGATTTTTATGTGAACAATCTTTTTTTTCCCACTTGAGTAAATATCTGAAAGTGAGAATCCTGAGTCCTATGCCAAGTGTATGTTTGACTTTATAAGAAACTATGAAACTCGCTTCAAAGTGGCTGTACCACTTTGCATTCGGCCCAGCAGTGTCTGAGAGTTCCAGCTATTCCATACGCCGGCCCACACTTGGAATTGTCTTTGTTTTGTTTTTTTGGTTTTTTTCTTAAACCTTTATTTTAAGGTTTAAGGATCGAACCCGGGTCCCGCACGTGCTAGGCGAGCGCTCTACCGCTGAGCCCCAGCACCTGGAATTGTCTTTTTTTAAAAATCATTTTTAGCCGCTTATAAAGATGTGCCATGCTATCTTATGGTTTTAATTTGTATTTCCCAGCTGATAAATGATGTTATCTTTCATGTACTTGCTTTTTTTAACTACTCAGTTTGGGGAGTTTTAATGTATTTTGGTTATAATTCCTTTATATACCTATATATGGAGTGTCAGAGAGACTCTTACTTAGAGCTTCTGATAACTGATGAGAGCATTCAGGGTCCTCCTCTTCTGGGCAGTGAGTTCAGAAGAGCCCAGCCAGGGCTCGTTGTGCTGTGCACAGCTCTCCCTGGTAGAAAGTACAGCTGAGGCCCACAGAGCGCTTAGCCCCGCAGGTCGTCTGGCCTTCACCACATCCCCCCGCCCCCAGGAGAAGAGCGGGCTTATGCACAAGGCGCAGCGTCCTCAGATCCGCACTTGGCAGCCACACCAGCCAGTGAGATTCAGTAGCTGATCAAGGCATCAATTGCTGCTTGATCCAGAGTCCTCATGTCAGATTGGGCTCCCGCTGGTGGAGCCGGGGAAGGCTCAGTTTTGACCCCACTCTGCATGGGCTCTGTGCATATGGCTGGACCGATCCCACGGGTTTTAGATTGGGCCTGGGGTGTGTTTGTGGAGCTGGAGCTAGACAGGCGCATTAATAGGTTATTTTAGTCCTCTTAAGAGTGGCTTTACGAATGCCGACTTTGGTAATGGGCAGTGGACATGGGAAGGACAAGGTACATGGACCACTAATTCTTTGATGTGCCTGGCAGTGGGCCTGGAGTCCCCACCGCTGACTGTGTCTGAGGAGCGGCAGCTGGCTGTCCTGACGGAGCTGCCCTTTGTGGTCCCCTTTGAGGAGCGAGTGAAGGTAAGCCCCTGGTTCCTCTGGGCGTTAGTTGCAGTCCTGGGGCCTGTGCTTGCTGGACAGTGGTCTGCAGGGAGCTGTAGCCCAGCCTTGCTTTCTTCACCGACAGACTCTTCTCTGTGTTTTGTCCTGTTAGCATTAAGAATTAACATACCAGCAAAAACATCTTTGATTTCTTTGTTTAAATTTTTTTATTTTGAGAGATAATCTCACCAAGGTGCAGAGGCTGGCCTCGAACTTGCAGTCCTCCTGTCTCAGGCTCGTTAGGCTCCCTCCTTGCCAGCGTTTTTGATTTATGTTGTTCTTATTAGGTTGTAAGAGCCTGCAATAATTTTTAAGACCTAACAGATACCGCTTTATACAGAATAAAACAATTTTCCCTTGAGTTATAACTGATCAAAGGATTGTTAACTAGAGATTTCTCATGGAGTCTAAGTGCATTTGCTCTTCTCTCTTCACTATTTCCTGTATTTTGCATTATTTTTAAAAATGCAAAATCTTGTGAGGAGAAGCTTCTGTACATTCACATGAAAGCCAACCCTGTCGCCAGCACTACTTTACAGAAATGGACAAGTGAGCTTACGTCCTTTCCAGATGATTCTGCTAATGTGCAGAACTTCGTGTTTGTCTTTCCAGATTTAATTTAAGTTTTGTATTCTCCGTGTGTGTGTGTGTGTGTGTGTGTGTGTTTGTAGTTGTAGTTGTTGACAGACAGCATACCTTTATTTGTTTTATGTGGTGCTAAGGATGGAACCCAGTGCCTCACACATGCTAGGCGAGTGCTCTGCCACTGAGCCCAACTCCAGCCCTTCCCTGTGTTGTGAAACTTGGTAGAAGCCCCCAGGCTTGAAGAGGCTCTTTGTGGAGGCTGCACGCGCTCTCCGGAGCGACAGGAAGGTGCTCGGATGCGGCTGGTGCTTCCTCCCTTGGCCCCGCGCCACGGTCCAGCATCAGAGCACTGTGTGAACAGCCTCGCTGCACAGACACACTGGCTCCCGCAGAGCCGGGCCTCCTTCCCCCACCACCTGAGCCTTCATGAAAGATTTATGAATGAAAAGACAGCATGGGATGTTCAAAGTTTATTGTAAAATGGGGAAAGGCAGCAATACTAGTAATATAAATAGTCATTTGTTGATAAAAATCTAGTATCTTTGCTGTTAAATTTCACTTCAGAATTTTTCTCTTTGATTGCTTGTTGTGTAATATCTCGAAACTTTCCCTGTTTCGTTGTTAGATCTTTCAAAGGTTGATTTATGCAGATAAGCAAGAAGTTCAAGGAGATGGCCCATTTCTGGATGGAATTAATGTCACAATAAGAAGAAACTATATTTACGAGGATGCTTATGACAAACTTTCCCCAGAAAATGGTATATATGATTCTGTGTGAGTGTTTGCTGGGGGGCAGGGCTGGGAACTGTGTTAGGAAACAGTGTTGTTAAGAATTTGTGTCCACCTCTTCTCCTGTGCTGACGTGGTGGTGCCCACAGCACTGGGAGTCAAACCAAGGCCGTGTACGTGCCAGGCAAGTGCTCTCCATAATAGGAACTCCAACAGAAGCCTTTTAAATACTGGTCTTCAGGGCTGGGACAGAGCCCGGTGATAGAGCACTCCCCTGCATGCACAGGGCCCAAAATACAAGAAAATACTGATCTTTTAAAGGCACAGTACTCTCCCACACAGTACTGTTGTCTCTCTACTTTGCTACCTTTAATTCTAAAAACATTGGTGGCTGCAATTTACCTTCTGTGTTTTTATATAAATGCATGTTTATGTAGTATCAATTATAAGTCACATTAAGTGCACTGAAATAAATGCTGTCATCCTCCCTATTTCTTTATAGAACCTGTGCTTCAGTGGTACTTCTGTTAGTAGAAGGGTTGCAGTACACAGGAGTCGGGGTTGTATTTGGACAGCGAGGCCGTGCTTGGTCTTTAGTTACTGTGTGACCCGCACTGTTCAGTGCTACAGCTGTGACTTTAGAACCCCTGCATGGCAGGGTGATGAATCACTGTGGAGAAATCAAAAACAGAGCTTGCACAGACCTGTGGTCGATCTAGGTTGTCCGATGGGAAGCAGTAGCTGCCTTGCCTTTGAGGCAAAGAGATGGAGGGTTTACCCTCCTGAGTGTCTGTTTTTGTGGCCCCGGGATCACACCCAGGCCCACGCGGTGCTCTGCCCCTGGCTGCACCCCAGCCCTGTGGTGATTCTCTGAGCTGGACTGAAGAGCTGCTCTTGTTTCACTGTGGCGCCACTGGAAGGAAGCTGACCCACCGTCCCCTACTCCGTTCCCAGTGTTTTTCACATCATTTGCTCGTAACCCGCTAGTGTGACCCGAGGCCCGGTGAGTTCACGCAGTCTGAGCCGTGAACTCTCCCCACGTCAGATCTTTCTTGCCGTGGATGTTGTCTTTCAAATCCTGCATGTGAGGTGGAACGAGGCGCCCTGCCTGCCGGTGTACCTGAGTCTGGGTGGACTGGAGGGGAGCACATATTTGAAAAGCTGCCGTCCCCTGGCGGGGACCCCCGGTGCCCTCACAGGTCGGTAGCATGGTTCTGCATCGTGTCATTTCATTGGCAGAGTCGGTGCTTAGATCTGCCTGAGGGAGACTCATTCTCCCCCTTGCTCGGTGCACACAGCAGGTACTCAATAGTTACTTGTCAAATTTGCCTTCAGACCCCATGAGACGTGACAAAACAGTAAGTGTGTGAGTGGTTGGCATCACATCTAGAGAAGAGTGTGGAGTTTAATGGTGGAGGCCCTTCAGAGGGACAGGACTCGCCCGGACCTGCAGAGGAGTCCGTAGGGCAGTGTTTGTGTCCTGCTGGTTGTGGGGGCTGATTGGACTTGGTTTGGGTTTTTCTTTCCTTTGTTTGTTTGGGGGGGGGGGGTGTTTGTTTTTGTTCTTTTTTTCCTCCCTTGGTGCTGGGGATTGAACCCAGGGCCCTGGGCACATGAACCGAGCACTGTACCAACCGAGCTGTATCCTCAGCCCCCCTTTTTATTTCTATTTTGAGACAGAGTCTCACTAAATTGCTGAGTCTGGCCTTGATGTTGGGATCCTCCTGCCTCTCCCTCCAGAGTTGTTGGAAAGATAGGCATGCACCACCAAGCCTGGCTGTAATGGTTTAAATTCTTACAAATATTCTCTAATTCAGGCTTATGAATTTGAATATTTAAGGCTTCTGCTGGGTATTTTGCTCGGGCATTTTGCATCTTGGAACATTTAATTTATGAGAAATGGTTTGAATTGCTTTGTTGGCCAGTCATTTTCATAGGCTCAGGTAATGTGATTATTTCATGTATCATCAGGTCATTAGAGCAGGATTCTCTGGGGAGTAGTCTTGTCTGCATGTGAGTGGACAAGCGCCCGCAGGAATGGTGACTGATCTTGTGCAGCAGCGTGGGCCTTTTGGACGTTGTTTTTCCATATGAGCATGTGCAGAGAGAGCTGTGTTTGCTCCGAAGACTGCTGGGTGGCTGTGCTGCAGCTCCTTGGGTGGGAAGCTCCCCTGGGCTCCTCAGGTTTCCTGTCTTGGTTTCTGAGAACTTCCCTTTGCGTGTGTCAGTGGGCGGATTTTGTTTCACTTAATGGGCAATTATAATTACATGGTTTTCCTGAAGAACAGCCGGCATTAGGGTAAAATTAGTTGAATATTTTTCGTAGGTTGTATTCCACTAAAACCTCACTGTGTGATTAGATATTTCTAATTTGCCCTTAGAAAAAATAATGTCACTGGGCGCATTGGCTCATGCCTGTAGTCCAGCAACTCAGGAGGCTGAGACAAGAGGATCGTGAGTTCAAAGCCAGCCTCAGCAACATCGAGGCTCTAAGCAACTCAGTGAGACCCTGTCTCTAATAAAATACATAATCGGGTTGGGGATGTGGCTCAGTGGTTAAGCACCCCTGGGTTCAATCCCAATGCCAAAAAAAGAAAAGAAAAAGTAGTGTCAAGATAGACACCTAGAGGGCTAGATCCGAAGCTGGAAATAGTGCCTGTTGCCGTGTGCAGGTGTGAGCTTCAGGAAACTGAGGAAGCTCCACTCAGCCATGCTTGAGGGCTGCCTCCTCACCACGGGCCCTTGAAGCTCTGGGGAACAGAGCGCCGCACCACTGTCAGTGCTGCTGTTTGAAAGGGGCTCACAGGCCAGCTGAGATTACAGGTAATTACATGGTTTTCCCGGCATTAGGACAAAATCAGTTTAATGTTTTTCGTAGGTTGTATTCCACTAAAACCTGTAATCTCAGCTGCTCAGGAGGATCTTGCGTTCAAAGCCAGCCTAAGCAACTCAGCGAGACCCTGTCTCTAAATAAAATACAAAAAAGGGCTGGGTGTGTGGCTCAGTGTTAAGCACCTCTGGGTTCAATCCCTAGTACAAAAAAAGAAAAAGTGGTGCATGGATGGACCGAGGTTGGGCATTTCCACTGGGCACATTTGCATGCCACACTCTAGAACCCCGTTATGAAGTGTTGGGCACCCTTGGTGGGACTTCTGCAGTGCTGCCTGTTATACTGCCTGCTCTAACCCCTTCCTCCTGCCCTCCCTCCTCTCTGAACAGAGCCTGATTTGAAAAAGCGGATCCGTGTGCACTTGCTCAACGCCCATGGCCTGGATGAAGCTGGCATCGATGGTGGTGGTATTTTCAGGGAGTTTTTAAATGAACTACTAAAATCAGGATTTAACCCCAACCAGGGGTTCTTTAAGACTACTAATGAAGGGCTTCTGTACCCCAACCCGGCTGCTCAGATGCTCGTGGGAGATTCTTTTGCCAGACATTACTACTTCCTAGGCAGGATGCTTGGAAAGGTAAAGTGGCCGTTCTGTTTCTGTGTGTCATGGTCTCTGCTTCGTCCATAATCTTTGTTCAGAATTTTTAAAGGTTGTCTTGGTGAATCCTAAATAGTATGTATTTATGTAACAACTACATTCATCTTTGTATGTTTACATGCGCAGTAATTACATCCTTCAAAATGATCACAGTATACAAATACAGGCAACGAGATAGAATCTGGTTTGGAGATGGTTTACAATGGTTATCTGCTACGCAGGTGTACGTGCTGTAAGCATTTCAAGTCTTCTCTCAGTTGCTTTATGGATAATATTGAAAGTGAATATTTTTAAAGTGCTATGAGATGGAAGCAAGCCCACAGTTATTCAGTATAGTTTAAATATGTTGTGTATATTTTATGCAAATTCTACAAAATTTTATGTCTGAGAATGATATTCTGGTGATGCTTTCGAAGCCAAAATGTTAACATGTGCCAGTCATGTGTACAAACTGGACTTATTAGCCTGCATTGTGAGGGCGATTACTTATGTAACAGAGCAGGAGCTTCAGGGGTAAGTTCTCCCCAGCTCCAATCAGGAACAAGACAAGGGTACATGTGGTCCTGACCTAGTGCAGCAGGGAACGAGGATCGGGACACTGAGATCTGGAAGGAAAGCTCTCTTAGCAGCGCCACTGACTAGAGGTGTAATTCCCAGAGCCCGAGTCCCAGGCACAGCAGGTTTTTACTTTAATACATAAGGAAGTTTGGGGTCCATCAAAGCAGGGAGTCTGCAGTTCTATTGGAGATGCATTCTACATTCCTTACATGGGTACAAGTTTGCAGCAGCTGAGGGACTTTTCACTGCACCACGCCTAAAGGGGGCCCGTCTGTCCCTGCCACTTTGTCTCCTGTTTCTGCTCCTGTGGTTACCTGTCACAGTGCCCACGGCTGCTGCAGGCCTGGGGTGAAGTGTCGGAAGCAGAGCTGCTGTGTGGCAGCCTCCAGAGCTGTTAGCCTGGGGGTTGGCCTGCCAGCTCCTGTGCTCCTAAGCTTTCCCTTCTGATCCCCACACTAACCGGGGGTGTGCTTTGGAGACCAGCATTGCTACTGCCCCCCCACAGATGAACCTTAGTCCAAAAAGCGTTGTTTTCATTTATTAGTTACTAACATTTTTAAATGGGGAGATTTTTTGTTTTGTTTTGTTTGGTACTAGGAATTGAACCCAGGGGTGCTTAACCACCGAGCCAAATCCCCACCCCATTTTTATATTTCACTAGAGACAGGGTCTCATTGAATTGCTAAGGCTGGCTTTGATCTTGGGGTCCTCCTGCCTCAGCCTCCCAAGCTGCTGGGATTACAGACGTGTGTCCCCATACCCGGCTAAAATAGGGAGCTTTGACCTACAAGTTTATATTTCTGGGTTGTTCATTTTTATTTGGGTTTTTTGTTGTTTTTCACTTTTTGCATTTTAAGTAAACTTAATGGTGGTAGTTGCTAATTCTATAAGAATGTGGCTAAGCAAGTATTCCAGTAAAATTGGGAGCTGGAACTTCAGCTTAAACTTTCCTAAATGAGGAGCGAGTTATGAGCTGATCCCATGGGACTCATGGCAGTTGGATGACAGAGGGAAAGGGCCTCTCGCGTGTGCAGGAACTCCCTGGTGTTCAGGCACTCCTGGACCAGCACTCACAGAACAACTTTGATAAGTCCTACCCCACCTTCTCTGTCCGAGTCCGACGCCAGAATAAGAGCATCCCAAGAAGGTGCCGGGTAGCCACAGCACTCTCCTGAGGGCTGACTGCTGGCCCTCTTCTGTCCTCTTGTCTGTGCCCCCTAGCACCAGCTTCTGCCAGCCAGTCTGGGCCTTCCATATATTGATTCCTAACTTATTTTTTATGTTGAGTGCATTGCTTGAGGTATCACAGAAGGACACAGCTCATGTCTGGCAACTGTAAAGTGTTACTGCATTCTGCGTACAGCATTTCTGCTAATAAAATTCTTATTAAGTAAAATTAATGTTTTATGTTACCCATGGATCTATGGTGTATTGTTAACAGGTAGGTAAAATTTTTTTACATTTGAGGAAGTTTTTAGGGCAAAGTTTATGTGACCTGAAAATACTTTTTATTTCCGTTGCTTTAAAAGCAGAAGAAGGTGGACACAGTGGCACACTGTAAACCCAGCAGCTCAGGAGGCTGAGGCAGGAAGATCACAGTTTCAAAACCATCCTCAGCAACTTAGCAATGCCCTAAGAACTTAGTGTAACCTTGTCTCAAAATAAAAAGGGTTGGGGATGTTGGCCCAGTGGTTAAGAGCCCCTGGGCTCGCTCCCTGGTACCAATACAGACAGACAGACATGGGTATGAACAACAGGTGCCTGATACTTAGTACTTCCCCTGCAGCAGTTTTTAGAAACACACTGACTGTGCTACAGACTTTACCAGCAGGCTCAGCTTCCGGCCAGGTCTCCCTTAGAACATGCTGGGCTGATTGCTTGCATGTTGACCAAGTTTGTTTTGTCCACCCTTCCCCTGTCCTTCCCTTCAGAGCCACACCTTCTGTTTCAGGGAACCTTTGTCGGCCTGACGTGGACTAAGCTCAGCTACTTCACAAGGCCTTGTACACATGGTGAGACGTTTCCATTCCCGCCGTGGTTGATGGAGGGTCACAGACTGGGGTGTGGGCACAGTGCCTTCTGTCCATTCACCCATGGGGGTCATTTGGATTGTCTGGTTTTTGTCTTTTATGGTTGATGCTCTGAACATTCGTGCACAGGTTCCACAGTATTCTGCCTCGCCTCTCCCTGGGGACTGTTCGTGCTGAGCACCTTGTAGCGCACTCTGCGTGTCCCCTGCCACTCAGGCCTGCGACGTGTTCCTGTGGCTGGACCCCTTGGTGTGCTCCAGACACTGAGCTGCACACCCTTGCTTTCAGTTACATGTGGTGCCCTTGACGGTCTTGTCTTTGGTTTGGTGCTTTTGTCTTGTCTGAGAAGCCTCTTATATGGGTACATGTCAGGTACACGGGTACATCTCCTGTGTGTTCTCCTAACAGCTTTGTCCTTTTGGCTCTTGCCTTTGGCTTTGGAGTTAGTTTTTATAGACTGTTACTGTTGGGGCCCTGAAGTTCTTCACACCCTTGTTGAAAATAAGTTGACCATAAACAGGACTCTGACTTCCCCTCTGCTGAGCACTTCGTCTAACTTATGCCAGTGCAAGAATGTCTTGATTGTGGTGGCTTTGTAGTGAGGTGTGCATGTGTGTGAATTAGTGGCAAATGGTAGTAAAACCCCAGGCCTCAAGAGCAAGGGGGCAGTGGAAGGTCATCAGTCGACTTGAATACGCAGTAATTCTTCTTTATTTATGTCTCTTTCAGATGTATTATACTATAGGTTGCTACCCATTTGTTCAGATTCCAGATGTCACTACTTTTATAATAACACAGATTTTAGGCATTATTCAGGTTTAGTAACTGGGCTCCAGCTGACCTCACTGTGACACTCCCAGAAACAAAATCTCTCTCTAGGCTTACCCTTAGGGTAGTAACAAATTTCGGCTGTTAAAGAAAAGAGGTTTATTTAGCTCACACTTCAAGAGGCTCCATGGTATGATGCTGGCATTGGCTTGACTCTGGTAGAAGCTCACAGCAGATGGCATCACAGTGGCTGAGAGCACGTGTGGGAACAAGAGCTCACTTAGCACGACAGGCAGCCAGAATGATCAGGGGGCAGGTGCCGCAGGGGCAGTGTTACGCCCTCCTGCGGACGTCCCCAGTGTCACCAAATGCCCATCCGTCCCACCACCCATCAGCACAAACTGATGGGGGACACACCACACTCAAGCCACTCAGGCTCCCTCTGTAGCTGGAGCCGTGCACTGGCCTTGGGGTCTCTGCTGGGTACCGCTGGAAGCCGCCCTCTCTCAACAACACAGAGATCTGTAAATGCTGTCTGTAGTGTTTTCAGTGAAGATGAGCCCAGAAGCCTCTAAATCATCAGCAGCGAAGAGAGGAAGAGGGAGTGAGAGTGGAGTGAGCCTCAGTTTTGCAGACTGACCTGACGTGCGCCTACCCCCCGCCGCCACCCCACCCCCGTGCCTAGTGGTTCTCCCCTGCCACAGGGACAGAAGATAGGGTTAGGGTCACAGAGTTGTTCTTCCTAAATATATAAGTCATCCCATTTTGATTAGTGTAGAGACTGATTGTTATGTAAGTCTGATGAGGAGAGGGACCTGGTTTTTCCCTCTCTGTTTATTGATATGCTGCTCATAATTTGAGCTGTTGCAAAGGCGGCGCTCATGGGACAGCAGTATTGTAGATTGGGGACAGGTGACAGATTGCTCATAACACCCTCTTGTGGAATGTGTATAACATGCTTAAAGCAGGTTCCAGGGAGGAGAGTTTGTGAGCTAAACCTCACTCCCAGAAATGAAGATCACATAAGTTACATTTCAGTAACATTGTTTAAAATAATGGAGTTTAGGCAAAACCAATAACAATCCTATAGTTATTTCTCTGATCAAAGATATTGGAAGAAGGCACAAAGATATGGGAAGACCTCATGTATTCGTGAATTCGGAGAATTGATATTGTTAAAATGTCCTTAGTACGCAAAGCAATTTACAGACTCAATGAAATCCCCATCAAAACACCAAGGACACACAGAAGACCCAGTCGCCAAAGCTATCTTGAACAAAAAGAACAAAGCTGAGGCTCCACAAGACCTGATTTCAAGACGTGGTTGAGTGCCACACTGACCAAAACAGCATGGCACTGGCAGAAAAGCAGGCACACGGCACAGTGGGACAGACTGGGGACCCCAGAATAACCCGCCATCTACAGCCAAGTGATTCCCAACACAGATGTCAGAAACACTGGAGGAAGGACAGCGTCTTCAACAGATGTGCTGGGAAAAGGCGACACCCACATGCCGAAGAACGACCTTGTCCACGCTCTCTCACCCTGTATGAAAATCAGCGCAGAGTGGATCAGGGGCTGCAGGTGGTGGTGCACGCCTGTGATCCTAGAGAAGAGGCTGAGGCATCTCGTGTTCAAGGCCCGTCTCAGCTACTTAGCAAGATGCCGACTCAAAATAAAAAAATAAAAAGGGCTGGTGGGGATGTAGCTCAGTGATTAAGCACCCTTGGGTTCAATCCCTGGTACCCCATGCCCCCTCAAAAAAAGTGGATCAATGACCCAAATTTAAGACCTGAAGCTATAAAATTTTCAGAAGGAAATGAGAGAGAACACTTCAGGATATTGGCATAGGCAGTGATATTTTTATAGAATCCCCAAAGCTCAGGTAACACAGTAAAAATACATAAATAGGATTCTGTTCAATAAAAAAACTTGTGCACAGCAAAGGAGACAATCCACAGAGTGAAGAGACAACCACTGAATGGGAAAATCACCTGCCGGCTATTCACCTGATGGGTTAGTATCCAGAACACGTAAGCCTCTCAGAAAACAACTACCATTACAAAATCGATTTTGGGGGGTGGCTACAGGGGATTGAACTCAGGGGCACTCCACCACTGAGCCACATCCTCAGCCGTGTTTTGTGTTTTATTGACAGGTCTCACTGCGTTGCTTAGCGCCTGGTTTTTGCTAGGGCTGGCTTTGAACTTGGGATCCTCCTGCCTCGGCCTCTCGAGCTGCTGGGATTACAGGCATGCCGCACTACTCCCGGCACAGAATCAATTTTGTTTTGTTTTTTGCCCTTCTCAATGCTTTATTCACTCAAATCACTCAATACAATTTCACTCTGTAGGTTCTTAATCAAGAAAACGACAATTCTTAATTCTAGGGCAAATGATCTGAAGAGACGCTTCTCAAGAAAAGACATACAAAAAGCCAACAATTATCTGAAAAAAATGCTCAGTATCATTAGCCATCAGGGAAACACAGATTAAAACCACAAGGAAATGATTTCACCTCAATTAGGCTATCTGTTATCAAAAAGAAAAAAGTAACCTGGTGAAAACGTAAAGACACGGGCACTCGGGCTGGGGACACGGCCCAGCTGGTGAGCACCAGCCTCACGTGCACAGGCCTGGTTCAATCCCTAGCACCTCAGAAAGTAAGTGGACGAATGAGTCACAAATGAGAAAAGGGAGCTCCCGCACCCTGTTGGTGGGAACGTAAACTGGACCTTTATGGAGAACACGACGGAGGCTCCTCAAGAAACTGAAAACAGGTTCTGGTGTGTATCCAAGACCACAGAACTGGCCCAGACGCCTGAAGGTCCACCGCAGCCAAGGCCTAGACTGGACCTGGGTGCCCACCGGCAGAGGAGGGACAAAGGAAATGGAGCACAGGTACACTCGGGCGGATCATTCAGCTCTAAGAAGTAGGGCTGGCTGGGCACAGTGGCGCACAACTGTAATCCCAGCAGCTTGGGAGGCTGAGGCAGGAGGACTGCGAGTTCAAAGCCAGCCTCAGCCCTTAGCAATTCAGCAAACCCTGTCTCTAAATAAAATATAAAAAAGGGCTGGGGATGTGGCTCAGTGGGTTCAATCCTCAATACCAAAAAAATAAAATAAAATAAAGATTGTGTTCACCTATAACTAAAAAATAAATTATTAAAAAAAAAGGACTGAAGGACAGCCTGTCAAGTAAACAAGCCAGACAGACACCGGAGCCTGTCCTCTCCCAGGTGGATGCTGGAAGAAGCCAGCCTGGGTGTCCAGCAGTGAGGACGAGAGGCTGTGAAGGGGTGGAGGGTGATGAAGGGCAGCTAGCTGGGTGGTTCAGCGTGCACATTGCACATGGGTATTAAAATGTCTCACTGAACCCCGCTGATGTGTGTGATTGATAAAAAGTGAAAGTAATTCTTAAAAACAATACTTATTTGAGGATGGCAATTAATTATAGTTCCACATATTTAAGCTATTTCTTACATAGCTTTCTGAATGGAAATTCCTAAAGAGGTACTATTTTCTCACACAAGTGTCATCTGATTGCAAACGGTTAACTTTGTATCAACATGCTAAGATTGTCCAGGTCTAAGTAGACAGTGTAGCACTAATAGTGTGGTACCTGGACACTAAATCTTCAAGAGAGGAAAACTGCATATTGATTGATATTGGTATTTATTGGGTCATAATGTATTTAAATTTTCTTTAATGCATATGTTAGTGATTGTTTACTGTGATAAAGTGCAAAGAGGTCTTCAAGAGTGATCTTGTGTGGGAAGAATTGCCTTGTGTCACTGGTCACTTTTCAGTTAAAAGTTCCATTAGCAGATGGTTCTTGCTTCTGGGGTGGGTCACAACTGCACTCCATCGCCTGTAAATCAGCCTCCTGGTGGGGAATAAATAAACAGCTCAAGGATGTGGTAATGTTGTGTGAACTTCCCTACAGTAGAAGCACCGGGGTCCATTTAAGCCAATGAAGTTCAGAATATTTATTGAAGACAATTCTTTATCATATTTGAATTCTATCTGAAAATAGCTCTTTTTTTCTTGCTGAAGAATATTGATTTAATTGGAACAGAATGTCTATAAATCAATAATATCTTGGTCATATATTTGAAAATTTTAATTAGATCGTATAACTTCAGCATGGCTTATAATTGTGTATTTCAGTGGAATTCAGCACGCTTTTAATGAATCGTAGATTGTTGTATTGGCGATTAACAGTTGATGTTACCCTTACTGAGAGCTGGGAAGATTTATCTCGTGTGTGATTAGAGCCCCTTAATAAAATGCCACTGTGCTTCCTGAGGCTTCACTCTGCAGGTCCAGGTGGCTTCTGGTACCCCAGTGTCCTTGAGCCCTGAGCTGCTCTTCCCAGCTGTCACCACCTGGGGCTTCTCCTCTGGCGGCTGGCAGGTCCTGTGGGCTTAGCAGCTGCCAGTTAGAGTGAAGGCGCCTGCTTTGTTGTCAGCACCCTTTGCAGGCAGCCTCCTGAGCCCCAGCTGCCCACAGTGTGTTTGCTCTTGAGTTATGTTTCTGTTTCTGGAAGCATAAAAGTCAAAGAGAATGATACTTCACAGAATGAAGAATAAACCTGTTCCTCCTGAGTGTCACACCTGCTTTTATTTACATTTTTAACCATTCTGCTGTGGTGGGGAGGGAACTCTGGACCTCTCACATGCTAGGCAAGCAGTCCCCAGCTGAGCCACCCCCCCAGCTTTGTAGCAGACTAATAATCCCAGTTTTCATTGCCTCTGTTGTAAACAGAGTACTACTCACAGTTCTAAAGTCAAGATCATAGTTTCCTATGAACATTCATTTCCTCCTTTTGCATTTAACCTTGAAATAAAAATGACTCGGATTACATAGTAAAAAAGACAGGTGTGTACCGGAATCCAGGGTTCCGATCCCCTGCAGAGTACTCTCATTGTAGTCTTAGCCATTCACGTATTCCCACAGTCCTCCTGCCCTTGCACGAGATGGGTCTTGGTCACTCGTGGTGTGCCCTGCCCTTTGTTTTTTTAAGCACTGTTCATCAAGGATGCTTTTCTTTTTCTGAGCCGTGGTTGGCTGTCCCTGTGGGAATGGGGGGTGAGGGGCGGACACCAGTGACGCTTGTCAAGACGACCTCCTTTGGAGGAGGCTCAGGGTGGTCATGGCAGGTGAAGAACTGAACTGCAACAGCAGGTGACCAGGGTGGAACAGGGGTGGCAAGAACCGAGCAGCGAGGACAGGATCACAAGAATGTGTTGGAGAAAACAACTCGGCATTATCAGAATAAAAATGACTACACCTCTGGGGGTGCCAGCAGGCAGCTGAGAGGAGAATGTCCGTAAGTCAGACGTGAGCGGAGGAACTGTCCTCTGGAACATACCGAGGCTCCAGCCCAGAAAGACAGACAGCGAGTCGGAAACGGGCGGAAGAGCCAGAGGGTTGGCATACCCCTTCACAGCCACCATCAGGCCTCTGCCAGAACCGCTGGTGGGTGCTGCAGAAACCAGAGGAAGCCCAGCAGGCAGACATGTCCCAGCAGACCCAGGCAGCAGTGTCCCGGCAGAGGGCCCTGCTGGGGCGTGGCTGAGCAGAGTGGTACTGCCCACCCCTGGAGGACCGCTCCAAGCCAGCCGAGGAGGTTTCACCGTGTGGGCCGACTCCTGTGCTTCCAGCAGGGACAGGAAGCCGTGAGAGGCCAGCCTTGCACCGCCCACCCTCCCAGCATTCCCTGTGGGTTTTCTGAAGGAAGAGGAGAGATACCGCTGGCATGGCTATTATCAGAACCATGGTTGGCTCCTGGTCCTGGCAGCTGGGGTGAGACTACCGGAGTAGGCAGCCCCAACAGTCTAGACAGCAGGGCCAGCCAGGCTCAATGCCTTTCTGGAAAACCAGAGTCTCAAAGAAGATGCAGGCGCCTGCCTCCTGGGGCCTTGGGAGCCTCCCACAGGAGGGGGCCATCCTGGGAAAGGCGGGGTTTCCACATTTCCAAGGTAACCGAGTTGCTCCTGCCTCATGCAGCAGAAGCCAGCTCTGGCCATTTGCTGGGCTGTGAGTGAGCAGCCGTCCATCTCTGCTGACTCGAGCAAACCTGAACTGTGCTCAGCATTGGGTGTGGCAGGGTTCAGTGGGTGGGAGCCCATCCAGCCTCAGGCAGCATGGCGACCTCCAGGTGATGGTCCTGCCCGTGAGATGCCAGAACACCACAGGGAGCACAGGTGTGGGTGTGAGCCTGGGGGTAGCTGTGTGGACAAGTGTTACAGGACTTGACAGTGTAGACTGGTGCCTGGAAGAGGATCGTGGTCGGCCAGGGCCTGAAGTGGGTCTTGCAGTGTACACATTCCTGCATAACCAGAAAGGTCAAGTGAGGAGAGGAGGACTCGCAGGCCAGTTCACGGGTGCACAGTCCCCGTGCAAGGTGGGCCCTGGTGTGCAGTGGGCACTCGATGCACGTCTGTCAGTGCGTGGGTGCCGTGGTTGTGCTGGGCCCTGTGTTGGAGGCGCAGCATGTTCCTGCCAGGGAGCAGCCAGTCCAGAGGCCACGTTTCCTGTTCCCAGTGGCTGGTTCCAAAGCACACACGGTTAGATGGTGTATCCTTACCTTATGTTTCTTTTTTTTTTTTTTTTTTAACTCTGTGGTTATCATGACTTGAAATCATTAAAATTATTATCTGCTTACTCAGTTAGGATGGCCTTAAAGCAAGACATCATCTCATATAGTTTTTAGATTAAGTTATAAATGTTCACTTTAGAACTACCTGAAGATTGATAGAGATGCATTTGGAAAGCATTATTTTTTTATTGATTCTTAATGTAGTAAATTACTGGAGTTATTTGGCAGCAAACAGGAATGACCTGTGATGTGGCTCACATCTCTTCTCCTGATAGAGCCACAATTTGCATTAATTGCACAGCGACTGCACTCACTTATATTAAAAGGCTTCTACTATAATTAATCCTTTTTATTTCAAATCATTTTGGCACAATTTCTAGCTATAAACACTCATAAAGGGCAGACAGTTGAAAAATACGTTACAGGTTTTTTCCATATACCTATTGCTATTTTTTCATGACAGGTAGTTATTGATATGCTTCTAGGAATAAGTGTTGTGTGACTGGCTGAAAAATGCTAAGTGGATTATTTTGCATAAAAAATAGGCAGTTTTTAAGTTGTATAATTAACCTGTGTTTAGAAAATACCTTGATTTATGCTTACATTTGTATCTCAGTTGCATACATTATGGAAATTTAATTTATAATCCATTTAGCTGATGCAGTCATAGTTTTTAGTGCTATCATTTATTAGTGCTTGTATATTAAATGCTCTAAAGGTTTAAACCTGCCTTATGTAAAAAATTATACCTATGCATTTGCATTTTATGAGTCACAGTGGGATTTCTGTTTAAAATTCAGGTAGCTCTGATATATTTAAGGAATCTTGCTGGTTTATTGTTACTAATGCAGAGATGGCAAACAATGACCTTAAATATTGAACATCAGGTGATTTATGCTAGCAGTTTACTTTTAGAGTTTGCTGTACAAATGAGGGCTTTTCTTCGACACCTGGGCCCCACCGTCCAGTGCTCTGCAGAGTGTTGACTTGGACGTGATGGTGCGCATCCATGCTCCAGGTTAATAGCTCTGACTGCTCTGAACTTGCCGTGGCTTTGGGGAACAGCTTTTCGTTGGCATTGTCAGTAGATAGATGACTAAGTGTGAGTTGCCGTTTTATTACTCCTTCTGTCCTTAAGGGGTCTTTTTTGGCCATCTTTTCAGAATTAATTGGGCAGTCATTAATCTTCAGATGAGAAATAGAGCACCAGGCCAGGGTGCTGTGGTTGGCCCAGCCAGGGATGCCAGGGTCTCCTGGAGGGGCTGCTATGACCTGATTGATCCTGAGCTTCTTACATAGACAGCCCGGGGAAAAAGCACTCTCCAGAGTGCCTGTCAAAAGTGACCAGCTCAGGTGGTAGAGTGCTCGCCTCGCGTGCCCGAGGCCCTGGGTTCAATCCCCAGCACCACCAGGCAAAAAAAAAATAAAAAATAAAAAAAGTGACCAGCATGATTCATGACATTGAAGTGTTCATTATTTTTTGAGAAACCTTCACAGCTGTTTCTGGGTCTTTTGGTGATGGCAACAGGTGAGTTAGATTACATACCTCAAGGGCACCTGAGCAGGCCAGTGGCACACCTCTGTAATCCCAGAGGCTCAGGAGGCTGAGGTGGGAGGCCAGCTTCAGCACCTTAGCAAAACTCTAAGCAACGTACTGAGTCCCTGTCTCAATGCAAAATAAAAGGTGCTAAGGATGTAGCTCAATGGTTAAGCACCTGGATTCAGTCCCAGTACCAAATGCCGGGGGGGGGGGGCATGTGAGCACGCTCTATTGGAGTATATAGGCTTCAGCGTGTGTTTAGGAGCTCGCGACTTTATAGAAAGCTTGAAAGAGATGACTGAATGCTGTGCTGTGCTGGGAACCATGACAGAGCGCCGGGGCTGCTTTCTAGAAGCTCCCCAGAGGCACCTCGCGCACCCCACCTCCCAGGATCTGTTTGCTCTGGACCATTAGCTTTTGCCTGAGTGTGTGTTACATGATCTGGCAGAAGAGTGACTCCTGTTTGGGCCATCTGTGGGAGGCTACCCCACAGATGAAGCAGCTGTCTGTCGGGGCCTTTCATGAGGCACCCAGCGACATGTGCCTCTCTAAAGCCTGGGACAAAGGACTCCTGGCTATGTCCAAGCACATCTTCCTCAGCACAACCCTCGGTATGGGGCCAGTGCAGCTCTTGGCCTCTGTCTGTCCTTGCTGGTGTCCCTCAGGCCTAGGCAGGGTCCCAGGACCACATGTACTCCAAACACAAGACAGGTTCTCGACCCCTCTGCTAGAGAGCACTTTTTACTTTAAAACCAGGCCCAAGTTCTCCACTTACCAAGTAGGGTAATCGCACTGTGCTTCTTGTCCTGGGAAGGTAAGGCGGGGAGCATTTCATGGGGTCACTGTGAACGCAGACCTCCACAGACGAGGCGCTCACAGAGGAAACCCAGTCTTCTCTTGGCCTCTGTGGGAGCCATCCTCCGGCCTTGTCCCAGAGCCACATGTATGGGAGGTCACAGATGTCCTACACTGTGCTCAACATGGCGCCTGCACATAGTGAGAACCGGGAGGAGGCAGCCAGCTGCTACATTAGAAAGGCTTATTGTGGCTTCCAGGCCCATCTTCCCAAACAAAATACTAAGACTTCTGAAAACATCACAGTGAAATTCTGGTTCTTGTTGGATTTTACAGCCTTGGGCCACAGGAACCCCTGACGTGATGCAGGGAACCTTGCATTCACTAGAGGGTCTCTGGAGCATGATATGCTAGCACCAGGGCTTGATTGACTCCTTTAATTACCAGGAGAGTCAGCGAGGTGCCCCCTGCTACACCCAGCATGGCTGAGATGAGAAGGCCAACAGTGCCATGCCCAGGAGTATGTGGCCACGGACACCCACATTACTGGTGCTGACACCAGCCCTGGGCACCTTGGAGAATGCGTGGGCAGTACCTAATGTGGGCAAGCACGCCCCATGCCCATCCTTGAGTGCTCTCCAGGCCTGTCCTTCAGTCTTTACTCATCAGCTTGTGTGTCCACCGCCAGGTGAAGAGGAAAAGACATCACACAGCAATAAACAAAAGAACAGGCAGCATCGGGCATCTCAGACAAAGGGTTGCGTGCTGCGTGCCCCCTCCGGGAGGTCCTGACACCAGGGAACCCTGCCCACCACGTAGCAGCAACAAGGGGTTGACTGCAGAGGGTGTGAGGGAAGGGCGAGAGTGCCGTGTGTGGGGTTAGGGCTCCACATCCTGGTCTTCAGGGTCCCTGCTCAGGTATGACCAGCTGTGTATGTTTCACTGCTTACAGACTATACTATAAATATGTCCACATCCTTAGATATGAAGGTGGGCATCAATGGTATTTCTCAACTTGTGAAATCACATGAAGTCCATTGTGGAACACAGCCACACGTACGCTATGCTGCAGGGACAGTGGGGCAGAGATGGTCTGGCCGGCGAGCCTGAGGAGCTCTGCTCACCACCTAACGTCCCCTGCCTGTGAATGTGACTTCATTGGAAACAGGGTCTGTGCAGGTTTACTCAAGTAAAATGGGGTCAGTGCTGGATCAGAGTGGGTCTCAAAGTCAGCGGCCAGTCTTTAGAGAAAGAGTTTAGGCTCCAGTACCTCCAAAGCAGACACGCAGGGAGGGTGACTTTGAGAAGAGCCAGGAGCTGGGGACTCTGAAGGAGTCTCCCTGCCTGCACCCTGGCCCCAGGCTCTGTCCTGTGGGCTGTGAACGGATCCCTGCTGCTGCTGCTGCTGCTGCTGCTGCTTTGTTCTTGGTGATTCTTGGGACATCGGTGAGGGCTCTACGTCTACCATCCCCTCTGACCCTTTGGGAGTGCAGAGGAGTGGCCCACGTCCCTTCTGTCTCAGCACTGTGTCTCAGCCCCGCACAGTCTGCAGTGAGCTGTGGCAGACTGAACGCTCCCAGGGAGTGCCTCGGTCGAGGCCTGGCCCGCGGGCTCACCCTGCCGTGGCCGCGGAGAAAGAGCCGCTGCCCTAGGACCCTGTTCAGTTGAGGAAGCATGACAGAAGTATCTGTGAATGCTAACCCTGTGCCCTGCTCTGTCCTGTCTGAAGGCTCTCTATGAAAACATGCTGGTGGAGCTGCCCTTTGCCGGCTTCTTCCTCTCCAAGCTGCTGGGCACCAGTGCCGATGTGGACATCCACCATCTGGCCTCCTTGGACCCCGAGGTCTACAGGAACCTGCTGTTCCTCAAGAGCTACGAGGAGGATGTGGAGGAGCTGGGGCTGAACTTCACCGTGGTGAACAACGACCTGGGAGAGGCCCAGGTGAGCAGGGCCCCTGCGTCTGTCTCCAGCCCCGGGGCAGCGTTTCCTCCACCGCCCTTTTGAGTCACCCGAGAGGGCGGGTGAGCCTTGCAGTGAGAGGCCGGCCCGGCCTGCCCGCCTGCCTTCATCAAGACCCGTGTCCTCTGCTCCTGTGCCACGGCATGGGGCAGCACCGCCAGGACGGGACCTTTGGGAGCACGCCGCTCCAGGTGCAGCCCGTGTGGGAGGCTTCCTGGCCTCGCTGAATGAGTGGTGGTCCTTGTTCCTTTGCTTTTTCTTTTTTAAAAGGAAAAGAAGGCCTATATTGGAGGTTCAAACTAAGTTTTGTGTTGGGGGGTTTGGTTTCGTTTTGGGCTTTTTTTCCCCTTTTTTTCAGTGTTCTGCCACTGACCTGCACCCTCTTAACTCTCTCAGAAACAGCTTTACTGAGAGAGAAGTCACAGCATGAACTGGAGCAGCTCAGTGGTGCTGATGTGTTTGTAGAGTCGAGCAGCCACCTGTAGAGTGTTCCCTTTTCAGTTCTTCCAGAGGCACTTCTCCACTGAGCCACATCTCCAGCCTTTTTTTTTTTTTTTTTTTTGGCATTGGGGATTGAACCCAGTGATACCTAACCACTGAGCCACATCCCCATCCGTTTTTATATTTTATTTTGAGACAGGGTCTCACTGAGTTGCTTAGCACCTCAGCCTCCCGTGCGGCTGAGATTACAAGCGTGCACCACAGTGCCCGGCTCCAGCCCTGTACTTGTTCTTGTTGATGGACCTTATTTTTTTTCATTTATTTATATGCAGTGCTGAGAATCGAACCCAGGGCCTCACAGATGTGAGGCAAGTGCTCTACCACTGAGCCACAGCCCCTGCCCTCTAGCCCTTTTTATTTACATTTTCAGACGGGTCTCACTAAGTTGCCACAGGCCTTACTAAACTGCTGAGGCTAGCTTTCAACTTGCAGTCCTCCCTCCTCAGCCTCCCAGTTCATAGGAACTGCAGGTGGGTGGGCACCACTGCACCCAACCAAAACATTTTGTTTGTCCTAGAAAAGACACTGCTCGTCAGCAGTAGCCCCTGCCATATCTCGAGCACCGCAGCCCACTTAGGCTCTCCCCACCTGCCTCCTGGAACACTTCGTACCATGGACTCTCGTGCGTTCTTGTGCAGTTGTGGGTACCAGGACTGGGCTCCTTTTTCTGGTTCCTCGTCCTCCTTTTGGCCGAAGGCTGCAGTGGACATGTGTGCAGCATGCTGAGATGTGTAGATGAGTGGCTGCCACCTGAGCCCTGCTTTAAACATGGAGAGCGCAGGCAGCAGGTGGGGCTCAGTGGGCCTGGATGGCCTGAGGTAGCAGCACCTGAGGTGCTGGCAGGGCCTGTCCGCTTCAGCCTTGGTCATCCCCACACACAACGGCCACAGTCAGACCGCTCAGGGATGACGCGAGAGGCTCCCACCGGGAGTTGGAAGGCATACTTGTTAATATCTCATGTGGCCCAGACTTGTTAGATGTGTAAGTGACTTCCTGTGCTTTCTCAATTCACATTTCCTTTTCAGAGTAAAAACTCAAGTCACAGGAAAGACAGGTGTGTTGGTGTTTCTCTAGAGCAGAGCTTTTCTGAATCTAACAGCGGGATTTTACCCACAAATATACTGTTGTAAACTTTGCAGTTGTTTCTCAAATGGATATTATCACCCGGTTCTAATCTAGGCCTTCGGGTCGTTCATGAGCTTTGCCCAGCTTAGATATCCCTCCACTAGATGGGGATAAGTTCTGGTGCAAGGTGGGTGTGGGCCCGGGGCATCCATCCCCACACCACAAAATCACACCTGGTGTGCACAGTAGGCTGACTACAGACAACAGTAAAAATCCAGAAGAAAGTCAGTTGCTTGTTTTGTGGTGCTGGGGATTGAACTCAGGGCCTTGTGCATGTAAGGCAGACACTCTACCAACTGAGCTATAGCCCCAGCCCCAAGAAAGGAGTTTGAATGTTTTCACCATAACAGAAATGGTAGATGAGATGGGTATGTTTAACCTGCTCAAACATTACACAGTGCATAAATGTTTCAAATACCTATAGTATCCCATAAATTCATACATACAATTTTGTTTTTATGTATCACTTAAAGATAAATTTAGAACTGCTCATGGTGACACACACACCTGTAATCCCAGTGACATGAGGGTCTGAGGCAAGAGGATCACAAGTTCAAGGCCAGCCTGGACAACTTAGTGAGGCCCTGTCTCAAAAATAGAAAACACCCGGGTGCAGTGGTGGCACACGCCTGTGATCCCAGCAGCTCAGGAGGCTGAGGCTCAAAAGACTAGACACGGAACCATTAGATGTGACCCAGTTGTTCTACCCTTCAGTGTTGACCTGAAGAACTCAAGTCATATGACATGCGCATCCCGTGTATATAGCAGCACAGTCCATAATAGCCACACATGGCGCCGGCCTAGGGTCCATCAGTGGGTGAGTGGATGGAGGAAATGTGGCACACACGCACAACGAAGTTCGACTCAGCCATAAAGAAAAATGAGATGATGTCATTTTCAGGAAAGTGGATGGGTCTTGGGAACAGTATGTTAAGTAAAATAAGCCAAACTCAGAGGTCAAGGGTCATCTGGAATCTAGAGAGGAAAAAGGAAAAGATGATGGGCTGGGGTTGTGGCTCAAGCGGTAGCGCGCTCACCTGGCATGCGTGCGGCCCGGGTTCGATTCTCAGCACCACATACAAACAAAGATGTTGTGTCCGCCGAAAACTAAAAAAAGTAAATATTAAAAAATAATAATAATAATTAAAAAAAAAAAAAGAAAAAGGAAAAGATGGGGGCAGATCTCATGAAAATCAAAGGAAGATCAGTCGAGGAAAGGGACGCAGTGGGAGGAGGAGAGGGAGCGGAGAAGTGCTGGCTGGGTGTGGCCGGAGTGTGGTGTTACGGTGTGCGTGTGCACATGTGTACCAAAGCCCACTGCAACGTTGATTGTGATGCTCCAGCAAAAATGGAGGAGGAGGAGGGGCTAGGGATGTGGCTCAAGTGGTAGAGCGCTCGCCTGGCATGCGTGCGGCCCGGGTTCGATCCTCAGCACCACATACAAACAAAGATGTTGTGTCCGCCGAAAAATAAATAAATAAATATTTTAAAAAAAAAAAAAAAATGGAGGAGGAGGAAACGGAACCCAAGGCAAGAGGAAGGTCAGGATGCAGGTGGCTGTCGGGTCTCACCTGCTAGGAAGTCAGCTTCCTCTTGGACTCCAGGGAGAGCACCTGTGTCATTCCAGAGCTGGTGCTGGGCGTGTCGGGCCTGGAGTGTATGACATCCTGTAGTGGGTGGTGTCAGCTGGTGGAAAAACCAGGAGCAAGGACATGTTTGAGCACCTCTGCAGAAGAAGAGGTTTCGACTGAGTGCGCAGGGCCTGGAAGCAGGGACGGGCTCTGAGCCAGCCCACAGAAAAGCTGTACCTGGGGGTCACAATCAGAAAAAAGAGTTTTAGGGGCTGGAGTTGTGGCTCAGTGGTAGAGTGCTCACCTGGCATACATGAGGCACTGGGTTCGATCCTCAGCACCACAGAAAAATAAAGAGTTTTAGCTGAAGTCAGTGGTGCTCACCTGTAATCCCAGCTATTTGGGAGCTGAGGCAGGAGGATTAAAAGTTCCAAGCCAGCCTTAGCAACTTAACGAGGTGCTAAGCAACTCAGTGAGACCCTGTCTCTAAATAAAATATAAAAAGGAGGGCTGGGGATGTGGCTCAGTGGTTGAGCACCCCAGGTTCAATCCCTGGTACCAATATAAGTGTGTGGGGGGGACAAGAGACGCAGGACCATGTTTTAATTTTGTTGCAATTTATGTAGCTGCTTTAGTTTTGGTGTCTTCTTCATAGTGTACAGCCAAAGTCTCAATAGCGCAAAATTCCAAAGTTAGTTGGCAGGTGAGGTTTGTTTTCAGAGTTCAGGGCGATGTGCTCTGTGCCTCCTGGGTAACTTGTGAGAGCGAGTGAAGGCTCCTGAGCCCTGCAGAGCTGTGCCACCCACCTGGGCCTCCATCAGGTCCCTGCAGGCAGTGCTGGAGTCTGCTACAAGCACAAGATTGCCTACTAAGTTTAGGAGTTATGGATGGCAATGTGTTAGAGTAATTGCAACTGGGCACCCTGGCACACACTTATAATCCCAAAGCCAACCTCAGCAACACATCAAGGCCCTAAATAACTCGGTGAGACCCTATCTTTAAATAAAATACAAAAAAGGGCTGGAGATATGGCTCAGTAGTTGAAAGCTCCTGGTTTCTATCCCCAGCACCCCTCTCAAAAAAAAAAAAAAAAAAAGGAGAAGAATTGCACTAAAGATGCTCATTAGAAGAACTGAGAAAGTCAGCGGTAAAGCCACCTAGTTTGGAGAGAATCTTTTGGCTTTTTTGTAGAGGTAGATACACATAGGTAGTCCTCTCCTTAGGGTTACGTTTGTAACACTGTGATTTAAAGATCTTTAATGCACAGATCCTTCATCCTGCTGGCAGGTCATTGTTCGTTGTTCATTCTTCCCTCTCACAGCAATGCTGCTGCTGCCGCCAGGTTTGTTTTCTTAGCTATAATCAATATGGCTGTGTCTGTGCCCTTTAATAACGTACATGGAACTTTAGACTGCTGATGTATATGCACATCCTCCTGGAGCAGGGCCCTGAGGGTCATCTGCCACGTGGGAGGCCGCACTTGAGCCCCGTGGCCTTGGGCAGGCCACCTCCTCACTCAGAAAGATGGTGCTAGAGGGTCAGTGAGCAGTGCAGCAGCAGGTCCCAGCCAGCCATCACCAGCCCGGAGGTGCAGTGCCTGCTGGGGGAGCCGCTTTAAGTGTGCCCTCCCACCCTGAATTTCAGTAGGCGTTTGATGTGACTTTTAAAATACACATAGTTGTGCCAGGCGTAGTGGCACAAGCCTATAATCCCATCAGCTCAGGAGGCTGAGACAGGAGATCGTGAGTTCGAAGCCAGCCTGAGCAACAGCGAGGTGCTAAGCAACTCAGTGAGACCCTGTCTCTAGATAAAATACAAAATAGGGCTCGGGATGTGGCTCAGTGGCCAGGTGCCCCCTGAATTCAGTCCCCAGTACCCCCCTCAAAAATGTGTGTGTGTACACAAACACACACACACAGACACACACAGTTATTTAGATTTAGCCTGAGAGAGGATTTTGGTTTAAAAGTAATGCAGGCATTTTAAAGTTGTTAGAAATAGCAGTTTTGTGTGATGAGGCAGGGTCATATGTTCCTTTAGCTGAGAACTTCACTGGTCCTTTGTCTTCCAGATCACACAGGCACGTCATCACTTATTACCTGCCTTTATCAGTTTAAAGTTTAATGCATGTAAATGTGATGGCTAGTTTGGTGAGACTTGGCCAACAGGTGGACTGTTGGAGTGTAAGTGAAGGACTTACGGTAAGGGGCAGTCTTTGCTCACCCAGAGGCCACGGTTTGAAAGCTCACTGTCAGACCCATTATTCCTACAATTGCAAGTTCATCAGAAGAAAGACGGAGCCAAAGAGTTGAAATTCAACAAATTCAACTCTGAGGTTTAAAGGCACATAATCTTTATAAAATTCAGAATGAGCAGACTATGCAAATGTAGGGTGATTGAAATGGCTTTTCTGTGATGCGGTAAGAGATCAGGTATAAGAGCCATCGCCTAGAGGGCGGCCCCATCTTGTCTCTCTGGGAATGTGAAACGTGTACAAGGTCTAAAGGCTGTGAGAAGAAAGCCATTGGGGGTGTTGATGACGGGCCGTCTGAGAGAAGGCTAGCAAGCCCCGCACGGCACCACTGACCTATAATCCCAGGGATTTGCCCAAGGGCAAACTTGAGCAACTGAATGAAGCCTTGTCTCAAAATAAAATAAAAGAAAAAACAAAAACTAAGCAAAAAACCCACATAAGTTTGATTACCTATGAATGGAGGAAAGTCTCTAGTATATACACTTCAGACTTAATAGTGGTGACTTCTGGGAATTGGGATCTGGGTAAGAAAGAAGTTCAGTAGTATGTAAGGATTATATTATCTACTCTACTGATCTCATGTCAGGACTCCACTGCCACTTAAATTGAGAGTATTTCCATAGTTGAGGGTCAAATATATTCTCATTTTTTACATTCATTGAATGGTTGAAAATCATGCCACATTTTAGTTTGCTTTATATTTATAAGTTACACAGCTTTCTTGTGTAACTTCCCTCTGTAGTTCTTTTTTTTTAAGTTATTTAAAGATAAAAAGAATAAATTTGAGTATATATCTCAAAAGAATAAATTTGAGTATGTATCTAACTTTTAAAACATGGTTATATAATATCTTTGAACCACCATTTTTTTTTTTTTGAGAGAGAGAATTTTTTTTTTTTTTAATATTTATTTTTTAGTTTTTGGCGAACACAACATCTTTGTTTGTATGTGGTGCTGAGGATTGAACCCGGGCCGCACGCATACCAGGCGAGCGCACTACCGCTTGAGCCACATCCCCAGCCCCCACCATTCGGTTTTAAGAATAGGGTAATGAATAGTTTGCATCTTGTTGCTCTCCTAACACTGCTTATGTAGCATTTTTCCCTCCTGGTGATTCTAAGTTTCCTGGTTTTTGTTATTCAAGAAAAACTAATATGCCTTCATTACATTTTTCCAGCCTCTCATCTGTACTCTCTTTAAGTAGGAGCCTTGCATCGTCCCTTCTTGTACCTTCTGAACTATACTAATTTGTATCAGTTGTTCTTTAGATCAGCTCCCAAATGGTCATCCTTGGATTTCCCTTTTCTATGCTTTCTAGGTTGAATAAAGTAGTTTTTGAACCTACTCAATGAATTCCTCAGAAAAGATGCACAGAAAGTGAAATCAGAATTTCTGCATGCCCAAGAAATATTTTTATTTTGTTTTCATACTTTGGCTAAGTATAGAATTCTAGATTCAATATATTTTCCTTCAGAATTTTAGAAGCCTTGCTCTCGTTTTCTAACATGCATCATTGTTAATGAGAAGTTAGAGGACTCTATGATTTTTGATCATAAGTTACCTCCTCCTTTCATCCCAATAAGTTTGAAGAACTGTTATTTAACTTTGGTATTCTGATTTCACAGTGATATGTTTGGAAGTTGTTGAGCCCTTTCATTTTACTTAGTACTTGAATATCAGAAAGAGTATGGAAAAGATTTCCAGAGATAATAATAGGGCTAATAATAGACAACATGATGATAATAATAATAGACAACATGATGTTGTCTTATACAAGGCAGTGACTACTAGGCTATTAGATATTTAAAGTACATAACATGTTCAGAAGAAGCTATAATTGTTTTCCTATTACTTGTATTAAAATGATCATACTTCTTACTTTGCTGTTCCTGCTATCTTCCAGCAACAGGATAAGACCTCATCTAACCTACATGAAGCTGCTTCAGACTGTGTGTGCTCAGCTCTTTATGCCATTGAGAATGTGGAAACTAACTTGCCATTAGCAATGCAACTTTTTCAGGGAGTCCTGACATTGGAGACTGCCTATCATATGGCTGTGGCACGTGAAGATTTAGACAAGTGAGTAATTATTTAAGATTGGAGCTCTGAATTTTTTAAAAGTCTGATCTTTTATTTTTTACTTTTGTGGTGCTAGGGATTGAACCTAGAGCCTCACACAGGAGAAGTACTCTATATTTAAGCTACATCCCTAGCACATTATGTTACTTTTTATTATTCATCTATTGTTTATGATTCTTAGTGGCTCTGTGTAAATATTAAAGTAGTGCATCCTAAAGATACTTTGATTCTCATGCAAACTTAGAAGTGGCAAGTTGGATGCAGAAGAAGTTGTATAATTACCAATTATGCAAAGTTTTTGCACAAAAGGAAAGGCTATAAAAATTAGGGAAAAGACTTTAAAATATCAAGTGTAACTTTTAAAAATGTTTTAGTAATTGAGAATTTGACTTATTCCTTGCTTATCTGTGGAGAAGTAGACAGTCTAAGTAAAGGTATCTACAATAGAGATTGTGATACAGCATAGCAAAGAATCACTATATGTGTCTTAAGCTGAGGACTATGAGAGAGAGAGAGAGAGAGAGAGAGAGTGTGTGTGTGTGTGTGTGTGTGTGTGTGTGTGTGTAAACAATAACCAGATTTCTGACTTGCTACTCTCATTCTTTTTTCTTCTACAGAGTTCTGAATTACTGCCGTATTTTCACTGAACTATGTGAAACTTTTCTTGAAAAAATTGTTTGTACTCCAGGCCAAGGTCTTGGGGACCTGCGAACTCTGGAATTGCTTCTTATTTGTGCAGGGCACCCTCAGTATGAGGTAATGTCTTTAATATGCTAAGACCATCATCTCCAAGTTGTGTATTGCATGTTGTTTATATTCCAAGGCCTCATCCCTCACCTTGTTTTCTTGAGAAATTATATTCTTATTTTTAATTAATGTGATATGGGAGTTCCCTCTGTATTGAAATTTTTCAAAAATTGAGTTTCTACTTTATATCCTTTTCCATTTTTTTTAACCTGGTTTGCTGGATTGTCTGTTGTAGGTCCCTCAAAAAACCTATTAGAAAAGCTTATTGCTTTTTCACTGAGTCCCCTTTTCAGCTGTGTTGATTCTCTAGAGCTTTGCAGTTTAAAACTACATTGTTCATCAGCTTTCCATTACTGTAACAAAATACATGAATAATCAACTTTTTAAAAGAGGAAAGGTTTATTTTAGCTCACAGTTTCAGATGTTTTAGTCCATGTTTTGTTGGCCCTATTGCTTTGGGGCCTGTGGCCCGGCAGTAGTAAATCATGGCTGTAAGTGCATGGCCAACAAATCCCAGCTGTGTGCAAAAGAGGAAGAGGAGGGCTAGGGTCTCTACCTCTAGGGGCATGTCCTCAGTTACCCAACTTCTTTCATTGGACCCTTCCTCCTAAAGGTTCCACCACCTCCCAGTAATGTTATGGAATGGATGGAGACCCAACTTTCATCACATAAATCTTTGGGAGACCTTCAAGATCAAACTATAACATATACTGAATCCTAACTGAATCTCCACAAATCTTCACATGTCAGATTTTTCTCCACATGAGGGATGTGAATGAGAAAGGGATTGAAAAGGCTATCTTTAAGACATTTGCCTTGCCCTTTGGTGAGGATGGGGTGATAACTAGAATCAAATCCAGGAACATGATGCCACTGAGCTATAGCCCCAACCCTTTTTATTTTATTTTGAAACTGGGTCTTGCTGAGTTGTCCTGCCCTAGTCTCCTGAGTGGCTAGGATTATAGATGTGTACCACTGCACCTGGCAATACCCTGCTCTCTTAAATTTGGAGGTTAAAACATTTTTCTTCATTTACCTCCTCTTTATAGTATAAGAAATGTGAAAAAAGTGCTTCCAAGTTGGATATTGTTTTGAGTATCTCTATCTTGGATTCTTGATGGGAAAAGAATGGTAGGGCTGCCTCTTAATTGTGATTACTTGTAGGCAAAGCACGTTTGTGAATCTCCATCCTTTTTCTTTTATTACATAAGAGAAGTTTATTTGTTTTGTATAATTTCATGAGGACAACTAGATTTGAATGAAACCCAAATTATCATTTTGGGGAGAAGTATAGCACCTCACATATAATGACAGGAGGCTGACTCAGTTATGTTCAAGGAATTAACATGGTTTGGCGGTAAGAAATGTTCTAATCTCAAAAATATATTGAAGTGATTTTATAGTTTGGGAAAAATACTTTTAAAAGCACTTCATCTCAGTATCTATTTCTCTAAATTCAGAATCCAATATAACTTTAGAAGCAGTTATCCCAGGAGTAAATAGGAAAATGTAATCTAATCATTCTAAATGTAGGTGGACATATTTGAGGTCTAGAGAAAAGGGGGACTCCTTAACTGGTCCTCAGGTAAATCTTTCTTATGTGGCCTTAGAAATACTAAAACTGACTGAATCTATTTCTTTGCCATTCAAATAAGTAATCTTTTCTCTTGTAATCTGACAGGTAGTAGAAATTTCCTTTAACTTTTGGTACCGACTAGGGGAGCATTTGTACAAAACTAACGATGAAGTTATTCATGGCATCTTCAAAGCTTACATTCAGAGGCTGCTTCATGCCTTGGCTCGACACTGCCAGCTAGAACCGGACCATGCAAGTTTCCTTCTCTACTTCTTCATATCTTAATTTTCTCCTCTTTTCAGTGCTAATTTGGAAAGAAACTGAAAAGATAGAGAATAGAGCTGATAGAATCTTCTGATTTTTGTCACTTTAGGTTACAGTGACAAAGTCAGTAGCAATATTAATAAAGACAAATTAGGCTTATGTTCACAAATATTGCTCTTGCTGAGACAGTAATTCTTTTCCAAGGATTTATCTTTAAAAAATCCTTCAGAAGAAACACTTTTATGTACAAAATATTATCTGTAAAGGTAGAAAATGATAAATCATGAATAACAGTATAAGAAGAGTGACATAAATCATAGCAAATTGATGGAACATTGTAAAATAATGATTACCGAAAAACAGTATGGTATGCTAAGAAAAAAAAAAATCAGAATGAGGAGCTTTATACTGTTTTTTAATAGTGTAAAATGTGTGCTTAGATTAACAGAAAAGGGAAATATTTGTGAAGGTATTGGACATTTCATGACTTCTCCCCAGATACATACTTTTATTTATATTATTTATACTGACTTTATAATTTAAGAGAAAATATAGAAATAATATATTAGCATATAAGAAAACATACTAGAAATATTACCAAATAGTTCGTTGGAAAACTCTTGAGCCTTTTTTCTTAGTCTCTCCCAAATTTTGCCTCATTTATCTCATACTACAGATGTTCATATATACAAAGGTTTTCAAATATATATATATATTTGGAGGGTGGGAAAGAGAAGCTATTTGTGGCTAGTCTGACATTTACTACTTAAAATTCACACATCTGGGAGCTGGGATTGTGGCTCAGAGGAAGAATGCTTGCTTAGTATGCATGAGGCACTGGGTTCTATCAGCACCACATGAAAATAAAATAAAGGTATTGTGTCCACCTACAACTAAAAAATAAATATTAAAAAAAATCACGTCTGCATGTCAAGCTTAACTCAATGGCTGTGGGGACTTAATCTGCATATGAAATGTCACATTAGCAAGTTAACTTGGTGAAAGGTGAACACTAGAAATGAGACCTTGTCACCTGCTGGCCAGCAGGGTGCCTGTGACAAACTGGGGTGTACCTGAGATTCCAGTTCTTTTTTTTTTAAATGGTGGAGTTGGAATGAAGGTTGAGTGGAAGTTTATTTTTTATTTTTTTAGAGAGAGGGAGAGAGAATTTTTTAATATTTATTTTTTAGTTTTCGGCAGACACAACATTTGTTATGTGGTGCTGAGGATCGAACCCGGGCCGCACCCATGCCAGGTGAGCACGCTATCTCTTGAGCCACATCCCCAGCCCAGAGATTCCAGTTCTTGCTGAGATTATTTTAGGCTTTATTTTGAGATGTCCTTACTAAAACCAAAAATTGTGTTATTTCTTCCTTTTGACCACTCATTTACCTAACCTCCTAAAATATATAGAAAACTGAGTCAGACTTTTAGAATCTTTACTTTTGTTAACTAATATATAAAAACTCTATAAGGTGACACAATAAGAAACACAAGAAGTAAATAAGCAGTATGAGGCAATCTTTTAGGTGTCCTTTGTAGTGCTGAGGCTTGAACTCAGGACGTCCTAAATGGCTGGCAAGAGCTCTCCCACAAAACCTCATTCTGAAGTAGAGGATCTAGAACTGTAACAAGGACTTAGTGACAGTCTTTGCTGAAAGCACTGATTCTTTACTTGGGCCTTCAAATGACCAGTGAATAACTAAAAGCAGGATAAAATTAACTTGGTACCTCTGGCTCCATTGCACATTATCTCTGCTCTGAGTCATCTTGGATTCCAGGAGCAACAGGTCTGATCTATATAGACATCATGTGATGACTTGGAACTGACTCCCCAGGCAACAGCGATTTCCTGTCCCTATCAGGCAGCCTGACCAATCATGACCAACCAGACTACAGCCACCTCCCTGTTCCTGCTCCTTTATCACCTGGACACTCACCTCAGTGTCCCCAAGACTGGAAAGCTGGTCCACTTTCTCTTCCCTGTGCAGTTAACTGATACAACAATGTCTTCTTCGCCTTTCACCACTATTTCCATTTGTACTTTGGGGCGAGTGGTCAGATCTGATTTGTTGGAATTCCCAAACATGGGCCTCTAGCCTAGGGCTTTAGTAATGGAGCCACTAACCCAGTGTGCCAACTGCCTAAGAGAAGAAACTGTATGGGTGAGGACACTTTTCATTTCTACCTTGTGAGGATTCTGTAACTGGATTTGTCAAAGGACAAAATTCTAACTCAGTGTGACAATCTCAATTAGCTCTATTTGTGATTCTCAAATTCGGCTACAGTAGGTTCCCTGAAACAGATTAAGTGTTCCAATGGGCTAAACAGAGGAATTTTTTTTTGGCACCAGGGTTCGAATTCAGGGGCACTGAACCACATCCAAGCTCTATTTTTTGTATTTTATTATTTTTTTTATGGACTCAATACCTTTATTTTGTTTATTTTTATGTGGTGCCAGGGATCCAACCCAGTGCTTCAAGCATGCTAGGCAAGCGCTCTACCACTGAGCCACACTCCGGCCCTATTTTGTGTTTTATCTAGAGGTAGGGTCTCAACTGAGTTACTTAGTGTCTCTCTGTTGCTGAGTCTGGCTTTGAACTCATGATCCTCA